ACCTCCTGCGGGACGGCCACTACACCCAGCGTCTCAGCGCCAACGCACCCGTGTACCTGGCGGCCATCATCCAGTACCTGACGGCCACGGTCCTGGAGCTGGCGGGCAACGAGGCCCAGAAAATCGGCTGCAGGCGCATCACCCCGGAGCTGCTGGACATGGCGATCCACAACAACGCCCTGCTCAGCGGCTTCTTCGGGAACACCACCATCTCCCAGGTGGCCCCGGGCAGGCGGTAGCTTCCCAACGTGACCTGGGCTCCCCGGGGCTCGGCCCACTCACAGCCCAGGCAGCCCCGGGCCTGTCTGGCGCCTTGGGCCCAAGTTATTGAAAATAAAGTGTTGAAGGAAACCCATGTGCCTGCTTCAGTCACTCTGTGTGGGAGGTGGTTGGAGGGATGGGCTGGTGGTGGTGTGTTCCTGGGAGCGGGGGTGGAGTCGGGGATGACAAGAGAGGAGCAGCCCCCCATGGTGACAGTGCAGGGGGTGGTCCAGGGTGGGAGAGGCCGGCTGGGTGGGGGTAGGCTGGGGTCTGGAAAACTCCCCCATCGTCTCTGAGCAAGTCAGAGCCTGGCAAGGTCCCCAGAAGGCTGGTGTTCACTGGGGTGGAGTGCAGGACCATGACTCAGGCATCGTGATAGGGTGAAGGTGCAATGCCAACCCGCCTGCAGAATGGAGGGGTGGACAGAGTGGTTGGCATCGACTCCCACGGGGCAGTGGCTTTGACGGGAAGATTGAGGTCTGATGCGGGGGCGGAGGGGAAGACAAGAAGAAAGATGCAAAATCGGAATGAGGGTCATGCGGGATCACGAGTTTAGTTTTGATCCTGTTCCTTTAGACATGCTGGAGACACCCTTAGCAACATGTGTAAACAAGCTGTCACCTAGCAACAGAGGGCTTGCGGCCAGGCCCCGCCCCAGAACCCGTGATTTGTTTATGCTCTTTGCACCAGGCCAGGCCCCGCCCCAGGACGCCGATATTTTGCATATCACCACGACAACCAGGGGGCGCGGGGCTTAGGTGCGGGAGCCTGCGTGCTGCCCGGCTGAGCCGGACGCAGGGCACCTTGCAGCCAGCTGCCAGCACCCGCAGGTCCACCCTGCTGCGTCAGCGCGACCGGAAGCGCTTATGCTGGGAACATGGCGGCGTCCTCCAGCGGCTTGGGTGGCGGTGCGGGCCCGGGGCCCGAGACCGGGGACTTCCTGGGCAGATACCGGCAGGTGTCTAACAAGCTGAAGAGCGATCCTGCTGAAGCCGAACGTG